TGTTGAGCCTGAATCGGGTGTAACAATATTGTTCAATGTTGTTGACAGCTATGAACAATGTGGGCAGCAAAACATTGTTCAATCCTGTTTTCATCAGTATTGCATCAACCTGAGCGTTTTTTGCCGTGTACATAATGACACAACGCTATTGTGATGCTGCACGTACTTCATGTAATACAAATTATAGAGGTTTTACAGTACATTGAAGCATTGCATGTCAAAGCATTGCATTTTAAGTCAAATTTTAAATAAAAGACCTTTTCGGGAGACCTATGTCTATACCTGAGTTTTTGACGTTTTCTCCTTAATTAAAATATTTGAGCAAGTATCCTTTGGATCGTTGATTGTAACATATACGTGTTGAAATCTTTGGTTTACTTAATAAATCTTCTGTGGTTCTGTACGAAATTAATCCACGCGTCGCGCGTGAGCGTGGGATACTATAATATCCGACGGTGGATCTGCCGTGGGATATTATAGTATCCCACGCTGGATTGGGAAATCATGAATTTGAGTGAAATACCGTAAAAAATCACACTATCACGTGGTACAAATGCTGTTTTTTCATTGGACAATTTGAATTTGAGGTATAATATTATGTAGAGCACACTGGCTCATTGTTTTTGCAAGAATGATACGTGGGCGGATAGCCTTCTTCCAAGAATTCGACTTCTAAGAATTCGGCAAAGCGCTGTTGTCATGCAGTTGCGGTTAATACCTGCTGCGCGTGCAACAAAGCACGTCTCTAAATCTATTCCTCTTATTTGAGCTACTTTTAAATTGATATTTTATCGCAGTATTTACATTAAAAATGCCACTGTTTGTAAGAGAACAAACTTGAATTGAAATCAGTATAAAAAGAGATACCGAAAGAAGCTTTTATGTACATTCGTTTCGCCTTATTACAACATGAGATTAATATCCCATTCCCCCAAATTCGTTTTAATTTGAGACACTATAATTACGAAAAGTAAAACAAGAGACTGAATTTGATGAGAAATCAGTCTTTATGAAGCTAAGTACTAGAATCTACAGTTGGTGGATTTTGATGTGAAATCTATTGCTGGGGATCAGTAGTTTATAGTATTATATTAAATTGTACTTTGCGGCATAGACTTCAGCATTAAGACATATGATAGAGTGTATACCCCTACTATTTGTGTACAGTCGCAATTACTAAATTTTAAATAAAACTAGCGTGAGCTAAGCTACTAAATGTTGTTGTTTGTAAATACAAGCGAATTTGGAGTTCCGGCTCTTGGATGGTTCTGCAATTTTATTTTGTCGTACTTGTTTGTCGTTTCTAAAAATTCTGAGAGCGTTTTAGACCAATTTTGGTATTTGGGGCTACAGTTGATATGCTCACGTGTAAAATGTGTGGATTAATAATATCTGTTTATTTATTGGGAAACTCAAACCTACCAAGCTCCGTTTTGCAAAAATCAGAATGCCAATATTGCGAAATTTTAATATTAAGACATCTCAAAATCTCATATTACCTGTCGAGATGCCATCTATATACCCTTGCGTTAAACTTCTCTTTGCTTGCTTTCCTCAAAGATGATAAATTTTGAGTGTATGTTTATAATCTTAACTGCTTGCCAATAAGCGAGCTGTTGCCTGTTGTTATGTATGAACCCCTTGGTGTCAGCACTTAGCAGCATCGGTAATTTAACCACAATTCTAGTGCGCATGCACAAAGAAAGCCTGGGCTTGACCCTGATCATAAAACCTAGCCCACCTCAATAGATCTTATGCATAATGACGTCACAAGGCTTGATGCCCGCGAGGAATGCTGGTCTTAGTAGTCATCGCCCGGGAAAATTAAACAATTCAAAATGGCCATTATCAAAATTTTCCTGGGCGATGACTACTAAGACCAGCATTCCCCACGGGCATCAAGCCTTGTGACGTCATGCATAGGGTCTATTGTTGTTGGCAATGCAAGCAGTGTTTCACAATAAGCTTAGCCTGACAAAGCTTAGTCTTCTCTCAAGCCAGACAAAGGCTCGCAGTGTAAACACGGCTTAAGTTTAACCCTTGATGACTAGATGAGTCGTGCTTGAACAGCATGTATTTATTAAAGGGATTTTATTACATTCATTCTCTCTTCATACATTCTACTATACATCTAAACATCGTGTCCGTTAACAAGTCTTGAATATATGTTTCCCTTAGCAACCAAGTGCTGACGTGTGCATTACTGATCCGGCACGACCCTCAAAACTGACGGGTGCTTATCCCAACATTTAGCCGCATAGACTTGTGTGATCTCAGGCGTTCCAGCGCAAACCGCTATGTAGAAGCCGGATTTTTTATGCCACTTGATCGTAATCATATGCTGGTGTCCGTTATTTTCACTCGTTGCCACGGTAACGTTGCCTCCAGATTTGATCGTGCTCACTTCGTCTTCGGTCAGCGTGATTTGATGGCGATGACGAGCAACCACCGATGGTTCGACTGTCGAATCCCTGGTTCGTAATCCTGTATCGGTGTTTACTTCCGGTGTAGGTGTTGGGCCACCATCTTTTCCTGATAATGGATCTCGGAAAAGGTTCGCATGCTTCTTAGATTCCATCAGGAGATCTCCAACAGCCTGTATCTCTTTCCACGCCGTGCTTCCTTCAACATGTATCGGCATAATGGGGTACCTGTGAAATACGGAAATATCGACGTAAGGCTTGCCTATATCAGTCCTATAATGATTTCCTCTGTGTTGGTGTAATGTGCTCAGGTGAATATGGTGCTTGTGATCTTGCCCGGTGTGGATATGCACTCAGAGTAACATCACAAGCATCAGTCCTATAATGTTGTGTCTAGAAATTCAACAAAAGAGCCATTCCTTATTGATCCAGGGTTGAAACCTAAACTAACTTTTTAAATTTGATAAACACTCTGACTGATTTTATGTGGAACTAACTTTATTTACAACGGATACTTCTATCAGTTCTAAACTGCTCTTCCTAGAACTCTCTAGTGTTACCATATAAGAATTATTAAGTAACATTACGTTATACTGGATAATTATATCATATCTGTTCTTAACTGTTTTCTGTGGAGGTCTAGCCACCGGAAGAAAGTGCGAAATTCAGTAAAGTCAAACTGAATCCTCCCCCACCTAGTAATTGGGTCACTGCCCCCCCCCCCTCACCCTAGGTTAAATCATCTATCACTATACCTTTGTCTAAGAATTCCTACTCCTGGAATATCAGGCAGGAAGATTCTTATACCGGAGGCGCGAACCTGTCTCACTTCTCCGGTCGGGTCTAAGACACCAACCGAGTCTTTTGTCGTGTCAGCGGCATCGACATTCGTTTCGTTTCCCATGAAAAACGTATTGGGTGTAATGTAATAGATTTTGCTGTTGATGCCATCATAAGCTGTCGTTTTCGTTTTTCCGCCATTGCGGCCATCGGCAGTCACCGTTTTTCCATCTGGATCGAAGCGCGCGTCTCCCTTGTAAATGAGATTGTGTGGGTTCCAATTGTTTAAGGGTGTGAGGTAGATAATTTCTAGTGGTATGGCGTACGACACGTTCTGTTCGTATTGTGTGCATGTCTTCCTTGTGCCGAATCCCTTGCAAACATTCAGTTTCATTCCTGTTGAAAATAGGATGAGTTTATTGAAGGCTAGGTTCTTTACAACGAATTTTATTGAATGAATTTTATATCATCGTATCTGGGTGGGGTTGGAGTGATTATAATAAACTTTGTATATCTTTCTAATATTTTTAGGGTGGTTTGGGGAGGGTGGGTGGCAATATCTTGTACTGTCTGTAAGTACACGGCCTAATGAAAAGCAACGACAATCTTGATCAATCTTGTAAATATTTTTTTCTAGTTGATTAGCTACCGTGTTAAAATATGTTTTAATAGTAATAATAATAATAATTCTACCGATAAAACCCACAATACGCCCCTAATTTGCCTAACATTGTTATTTTATTCCATTTAACGCCAGAGGAGGGTTATTACTCTTCAAGCGAACACCAGACTCATTTCTCTTGTACTTTATTATTTTACTATGCCTATGCCAAAAGATATTACTATCCGGAAAATGGGTAGATCGCGTTGACGTAGACCCAACAATCAGAACGTTTTGTCTCTCTGCCAATCCTTATCTAAAGACAAAATTAAAAGATCACTTTGCATTGTGTGGTGTTCGTGAGATCTCTTTAATACGTGTTCTCTATCCGGCCAAATCAAAACTGTATCTTCTTTGGAAGTATTTTGTAATATACTTTAATTAATTTCGTGTTATAGTAGGCCCTCCCTAGTTTACACTTTGAGCGGGCTCAAGAAATAATCGATCGTTGCCAAAATAATTCAAAACAACGCATCGTTGTAAAGTCACAGTCATAATTTCCTACTTCGCTTAGCCTGCGTATAGGCAATCTGCTTTGGGTAAATACCTGCGATATTCTCTTGCGTCGTCATCGCCACAAATAGATTTGGATCAGAGAATCCACGATGTCGTGTCTGTATCCCCATCGCTCCTTTCTCCAGCACTTTGTACCGGCGGTGATAATACCCAGCATTCAATTTCTGGCCAACTTGCTCCGGGTCCAACGAGTAAGCTTCCTGGCCCAGGACGCCGTCGGTGATATTGGCCGGGTAATTATCCTTCCCGGGGATTTCACTCATGAGTTTGTCCAGTAAGCTTAAACTGCCTGATTTTTCCATAGCATCCCGCCACTTGTCAGTGTTCTTAGGGTTAACCTGAAATCGGGCTGCGCGGGTCTGTTCATGTTTTTCGACTGTGCGTTTCCGTGCGAGTCTGGACGCTAGGTCGTCCACAACACGCAACCTGAATAAGAATAAGATGTAATCCGATACAGACCCGACCTGCTCATCATCAATATAAGATTAAACACGCTCTGAATTTAAACATTTTGTGAACTCAAGATTCGATGTATTTAGACAAGACAACAAAATTCCCAGTATTCAGTAGTATTTCGTTGACTTTATTTCAAACTCAAAGTCATTTTGTTTGACAACGACTTTGAAATAAAGTCGAAATATTATCTCAAAGTCGTTCGCAAAAGAAGCTTAAATCATTCGGACGATAAGTTTTACGGTGAAATATATCGCCAATTTTTACACGAGTAGAAGCAAAATGCCTTACCTGTTAACTGGGAGATAATCTTTAAGAGGATGACATAAAATACGATAATTCCACTGAGCAAAGACAACTGTCTTTTCATTGCCTTCCATGATGGTGGTAGGAAGGTAGGCAAAATTCTCCGAGTTGTCCTTACGTCCTGTGTAAGATGTAAAACGAATCTTCTCCTGAAGGTCGAACCAGCTGCTCGCGTCAACAAAATGGCGGTCACTGTCAAATGGTTCGTCGATTTTTTGCGTGCTTTTTGTCCAAGTTCCTTCCAAGTAACATAACACTGGTTTAAAGTACTTTCTGTAATCTCGTAGTGTGTGATTTTCATTCTTCCAAGCCTAGATGGATAAATGAGCGATGAAATAGAAATTTGGCATCGGACAGCTCACATCTTTCAGCTGACAATAGGCTTAAATTTTAGCTGACAACTGACATTAGTATGATAAAATTGTATTTTGTTCAAAGAAACTTTTATATAGTGACGCCCAAAGATGTTCTAAGATCATTATATATTACCTTAAACCACTCGATCATCTCTTCAACTTGTTCATCAAGCGATCCTTTCGATGCCACCTCCGGCGGGACATCGGGGAACGGTATTTCTTCAGTCTTATGGTACTCGCTTGTATTACTACTGGGCATATATAGCCGGTAATCATTATGCCGTGTACGAAACTCGACCCCGTTCAAAACTCCGATAAACTCGCCCATTCCGACAGTTCTGATATTGTTAGAATGATCATGAATGGCTACGATGCGTTGACCACTAAGATGGGAATTCAGATGGTAGGATTTTGTTCCGCCTACTCCATTACGCGTCTGCTTTACGCCGGATTGTCCCTCAGATCGGAGCCGTTCTTCGACAAAAAGTTGCTGTAGCATCATTTGACGAGTCAGTGCTCCGACTCGGGTATTCATCTTTTTGGATTCTTCTTCCAAATCGTTGCGTAGCGAGGCCATTTGTTCTCGTAGCAAGGCGATGTCGGCTGCCGGGTCTTCGAAACGGTTGTCAATAAAGGCTGCGGTAGCTGACACCAGAATTGCAGCGCATAGAAGCGCAAGTGTTCCAGGATTCATATCTGTTTAAAAATCTGAACCAAAATGATTTTGGTTGAGACGTTTGCGAATATTGGAATGGTTTTGAAAATTATATCGAGCTAGCTATATTTATACTCTGGGTATGCTGCGGAACGTGACATCATTAGTAAGTAAATGTGCAGAAGTTGTGCGTATAGGAAATGGTTACGATGGAGGTCTCAACAACTGGAATGAAAATAGTTACACTGTTACGTGTGGACTAAAGTGTTGAATTGTAGTCTCTATTGTGCATGGATTGCCTATCTGAATATATATACATGTTCCCACACTATAAACAAACTATAAACAAACTATATTCGAACTGGCTTGGGGTAAAATTACTTCAGCCCCTCCTCCTTGATTTTTTCAGCCCCCCCCCCCGTTGGCTTGAAATCCTGGCTACGTCACTGCTTCAATGCTACATAATAAAATGTTTTTAACCATAACCTTTTGAAAATTGAACATGTTAAATGTTGAGCTTCTTATATTCCTTCAATTTACAAATTCCTGAAAACTTCACCGAAGCAAATTCTTGAAACTAAATTTGTATAAATTGTGCGTTCAGGATGTATGTGATGACGTAGGCACAGCACGTTTCACACTCATGACACTCTTAAACGCGTGAGTAAGAAAGAAACTTTCTGTTGTCAAAATAAGACGTGTGAAAGTATTTATAGTTCCCAATTTACAGCGGCATGAATGGACTAGAGGGCACTTAAGATAACGACGAATTAAGTTATGTATTTGATTTGATATGCATTTTGATTTTTGACAATAGTTTTGCTATGACATTGACAATTTCTGACAATCAAGAGAACTTGGTAATATTATCTGGAGTTAGTTACCATAAGAAGTTTATTAATATGTTCATATATTGTATATATTGTTATATTATGTTATTAAATATTTTAGAGCAATGTTAAAAAAAATAAAATTAAAAAAAAATTATATTATGCATTGAACATATTGAGATCGCTTCAGATTGGTTTTGAAGATCGTACGGTAACGTTTTTAGAACGGTGGGTAGTTGAAGTACTATTTAAAAAAACGAGCAGGAGTGTTTTATTAGGTTTAGGTTTAAAGCCACGAGCGCGCAGCGCGAGTGGCTTTAGACCTAATAAAACACGACCTGCGAGTTTTTTAAATAGCTTCAAAAACGTTTGCGTAATAAGCATTTCAGATATGAAAAATCTTTATATAAAAATCTTTATATAAAAATCTTTGTATAAAAATCTTTTTATAGTTTGCATAACAATGGTCTTTTGTATTATTGCATAATAAAGTGTTCTTTAGCTGGTATAAAGACGTATGCACGTGACTAATTTCTTACTCAAGATTGGATTATTGCTTCATGAGATTGGATTATTGCTTCATTTCTTACTCAAGATTGGATTATTGCTTTTGTATGACAATTGCGTATTGAAGGTCTACACACGTAAAAACGCACAAGTTGTAACAACAGTTAATAGGTCGATTAACCGTGTTGTAACAAAGCTGCAGCAGACTTGTAGCAATGCTGTTCCAACAATTTGTCAACAGGATGTGTTCGCACTGCTTGTTCCCAGCTTGTTGATAAGTTGTCAACGACTTGTCGACAACTTGCCACAAGGTTGTTGAGCTCAACAGACTTGTTACAAGTTATTCCAACAACTTGTTATCGTCCACTGCAATTTAACAATTCGTCAACAAGTTGTGAGTGACAACCTTGTAGAGACTTGATGAAATAACAGCATTTTGCAACTTGTTGACAAACTTGCTACAAGCCTGTTCATTCTTTTGGCGTCGGAAGAGTGGTTTGGCTGGGGTGGCTAGACCGCGCCAACAAAAACAATAGAGTTTGAGCAAGACAACGAAGACGAAGGCATACTTGACAGTTTTTGCCGCCTGTACATTATCTTGCGCATACTGAGTTGGACGTCACTGGTAGTTGCTCAACGTGTCTTCCCATGTGTCGCTGTTTATGATGAATACTGACCATAATTCTTGCCCTGACCCAGAAAAAACAGCGAGACATGAAACTATGTCCCGTCTTTGTCCTTCTGCCTTCGTGCAGAACGAAGTTCACAACGAATATTGCCAAAATATTCGTTGTGAACGAAGGCAGAAGAACGAAGAAGGGATATGGATTCATGTCTCGCTGTTTTATCCTGATCAGGGTAAGGATTTGAGTCGGCATTCACAAACAGCTAGACATGAATCTCTAATCTGTCTTCACTCCTGACCCTAAACTCAGAATGCGCAAGGTAATGTGCAAGACAGGCAAAAATTGTCAACCACGTCGTCGTCGTCAGACTTCGTTCTCTTGCTCAAACTGTCTAATAGAAAGCGACTGAAACCGTAGTCTATTAAGATATGACGGTCTGGAATCCCAGCAAACGTCAAAACCACAAAATAGTACGTAGACCTTTGTTCGATGTTGAAGTGTTCCTCACCTTGCACAAATCCTTTGTCTCAACTTCACTAAATATTATCCATCGTGGTTGCACGTTTCATCTCAGCTTTCCGATTGGACGGAAATACAATGAGCTCAATCACAATGACCGTGCACATATTAACATAAACTCCGTATGGCGTATTTTCACGTCAGCACTCGTAAAATTTCGGACAAAATATCGTCTGAGTGACACTTCCGGTCCAGCATCAATACTGTGGTAAAAAGGTCTGTTCTCATGATACTTGACTTAATTCTATGCATTATTCGAGTCTTGCAACATGACGTGTCATTAAAAATGATCCGTCATTTTGGGACAGCTGTGGACCAATATAGTTCTTCAAAGACATAGACTTCTTTGACGCCACGTTTTACTTTTAATAATAACTATTTTTAATTTGCCGCCCTAAATGGCGGAAGTCAATAAATAAGTGTTGTGACGTCACAGAGCTCAATACCACTTGACTCGACATGCAGTCTGAGTATTCCGTAATTAGCCATACTAGACCTTTCCGGTAATTACGACACAACTACACTGTTTTCAACTTAAGACCACCTTAAGGTGGCTCGATACAGTTTTCGAAAATTCAGGTGTTTAACGCTTTGACATGTTCAAACTACGTATTTTTAGGATTTATTCAACAGATATTGTTTTTTTTTATATATTTTGATAACTTTACTTTCAAATTATATTAGTTTTAGTAACAGATAGTTCGTTGCTATGACGACATACGTGTACGAAATTCACTCCAAAATGGCCTATCGTCTCGTATAGTTGGAAAAAAAGCGTGACCCCCAATTTTTTTTCGTGCATTTTTTACTTGGACGAAAAGCTAACAATTAGCAAAATATAAAAAAATTCTGTAATGCCATTTTTTTGGAAAATGCGAAAATGTGATATTCTTCAATAACATTTTTTTGGCATTACAGAATTTTTTTATTTTTTGTATAATGAAAGTTTTTAGCGGTGCAATAGAGCATGCAAAATTTGAACATAGGTCACCAGACAAAATAAAGAGATATAGCGCATTGTTTTTCTAAAATGGAAAATTCTAATGACGTCAGCAATTGTCATAAAACGCTATAGAACACACGCAATGGCGTGATATGGCGCAAGCAACTGCTCACGTCAGGTCATTTTGGAAGTTCTTTCATTTTGTTAATCAGTTTCCGCGACCCGCGCGTAAAAATGGTTACCACCTGGTTTTGAGTTCGCGATTCTTGAGCAGGGTTTTTGTGATAACTATATCGAGCCACCTTAAATGGAATGGATTCCAGGTTTGTTTCTCACGGGCTATGGTCAGAGGAGCAGAACATCCTTCGTCAACACGTGCGTAAAAAAGAATTTTGGATTTTGACCAATAAATTTGGAAATAAGCTTGAAGACTGAAACGAGTCTGAGGTAAGCCTCGTTTTCGTGTTTAAGCTTATTTTCACATTTATTGGTCAAAATCCAAAATTCTTTTTTTTTTGCATGTGTTGACGAAGGATGTTCTGTTTCTCTGACCATAGCCCGTGAGAAACAAACTTAAAATCTATTCCATTTTAAGGTGGCCCTAAGTTGAAAACAGTGTATTTGATTGGAGAGGAATATTTAGAATAACAAGAGTGTTCTATATAACACGTTTTGTTTGTGGAAACACCACGTAAATTCGATCCGTAAGCCGGGATCTTCATCAGTGCTAATAATATGTGACTTGTTCAATGGACCTTTCACCTTTTGACTAAAATTTAGATCTAAACAAGTCTAGACAAAAATTTTATCACAGCTTGAAAGAGCATCATAAAATTAGTAATATTCCAAAGTTTCATTGCGAAATGTTGTAAAATGCGGATAATATAGCATTGCGAAGTTTGCCATTTTCAGTCATTTTGTATTACGCGTGGGAAATACATACCTCCTTCGGAAAAAGGGTATGTATTTCCCGTTTGTAATACAAAATGACTGAAAATTGCAAACTTCGCAAGGCTATAATATCCGCATTTTACAACATTTCGCAACGAAACTTCGGAATATTACTAATTTTGTGATGCTCTTTCAAGCTGTGATAAAATTTTTGTCTAGACTTGTTGAAATCTAAATTTTAGTCAAAAGGTGAAAGGTCCATTCACACGCACCTTTTCTATGACCAAAAGTGTCGTGATCTGATAAAGGGTAGGTATTATAGTTTCTGTGATATCATGTTTATATCGGTGTGCGGTATATAAAACCCGGTCATGAGCGTATTTGATTAGAAAGGAAAATTAGTGTTATTATGACTATCAATGAAATGAGTATATATGCTTAGAACGTGAAGATTGTGTGAAATACTTAGGGTATTGATTAATGGTAATCTCATATGGCAATATACCATCCACATAACGACGGCAAAATAAGCATTATTACCTCCGCAGGAGAGGAGGATCTATAGGGGTATGTTAAGGTGATCTTGGGGCGTGCTAGGAGGATCTAGAGCATGCTCGGCCGGAAAATTTTGTAATCTAGAGATTCTGAAATAATCGCATTTCCTGCGTTCTTGGCCTGACCCTTGAAAACCAGACGAGTTGTGGTTGAACAGCATGTATTTATTTTAAAGGGAAACTCTTACATACATTCCATTCCATCTAAGTCTACAATACGTTTCCCTTAGCAACCACGTACTGACGTGCGCATTTACTCATTCGGTACCGCAGCCATCCTTGCTGAATGCTTATCCCAACATTTCACAGCAAAGGGGCGTGTTATCTCCGTGGAATCGCAGAGCGCCATATAGAACCCTTTTTTTTTATGCCACTTGATCGTAACCGTATGCTGGTGCCCGCTGTTTTCCGTCGTAACCACGGTAACGTTGCCACCAGATTTGATTATGGTCACTTCGTCTTTGTCCAGTATGACTTCGTGACGATGACGACCAACTTTTGTTAGATTCGTAGAACTCCCAGTTCGTAAATCTGTATCGGTGTTTACCTCTGGTGGATATTGTCCACCATCTTGTCCTGACAATGGATCTCGGAAAAGGTTCGCATGCTTCTTAGATTCCATCAGGAAATCTCCAACAGCCTGTATCTCTTTCCACGCCGTGCTTCCTTCAACATGTATCGGCATAATGGGGTACCTGTGGAATACGAAATATCGACGTAAGGCTTGGCTATATCAGTCCTATAATGTTGTATCTAGAAATTCAACGAAAGAGCCATTCCTTATTGATCCAGTGTTGAAACCTAAACTAACTTTTTAAATTTGATAAACACAACGAAAGAGCTACTTTTTATTTATCCAGTGTTGAAACCTAAACTAAATTAACTTTTTAAATCTGGTAAACACTCTGACTGATTTTATGTGAAACTAACTTTATTTACACCGGATATTTCTATCAGTTCTAAGCTGCTCTTCCTAGAACTCTATAGTGTTACCATAGATATCTTATATACACTAGATAGTGCATCTAATTACTCTGCAATTAAAAAATTGAAGCCATGATTGCAGACTCAGGATATTCCCATGAAATGAAAAGATTCGTATGTTTTCTATTTCTTAAGCAGGGAACTTAAACATTAAGATAAACCTATTCCAAATACACTTTCAAACTATTCAAATGATGAAAGTTATTGTTGTTTTTTAAGCGTTTATTAGCGAGTGGGAAACTCCAACATGGCCGCCATCTATTCCAATGGGGGTAACCGCTGGAATATTTTTGGCTTCAATTTTACTAACAGAGATGCGCTATCTAGTGTATATAAGATATCTACGAGTGTTACCATATAAGAATTATAAATTAACTTACTTTATACTGGATAATTATATCAAATCTGTTCTAAACTGTTTTCTGTGGAGGTCTAGCCACCGGAAGAAGGTGCGAAATTTGGTAAAGTCAAACTGAATCGTCCCCCACCTAATATTTGGGCCACTGACCCTCCCCCCTCCCCCTCACCCTAGGTTAAATCATCTATCACTATACCTTTGTCTAAGAATGCCTACTCCTGGAATATCGGGCAGGAAGATTCGTACACCGGAGGCGCGAACCTGTCTCACTTCTCCGGTCGGGTCTAACACCCCTACCAAGTCTTTTGTCGTGTCAGCGGCGTCGACATTGGTTTCGTTTCCCGTGAAAAACCTATTGGGTGTAATATAATAGATTTTGCTGTTGACACCATCATAAGCTTTCGTTTTCGTTTTTCCGCCATTGCGGCCGTCGGCAGTCACCGTTTTTCCATGGTCGAGGCGTTCGTCTCCCTTGTAAGTGAGGTTGTGTGGGTTCCAATTGTTTAAGGGTGTGAGGTAGATAATTTCTAGTGGTATGGCGTACGAGACTTTCTGGTCGTTTTGCGTGCATGTTTTGTTTCTGTCGGGTCCTTTGCAAACATTCAGTTTCAATCCTGTTGAAAATAGGATGAGTTTATCGAAGGCTAGTTTCTTACAATAACCTACTTCTACCGATAAAACCCACAATGCGCCCCTAAATTTGCCTAACATTCTTATTTTATTCCATTTAACGCCAGATTTTGCATTT